AAAATCCCGATGGGCAGCTTCGTGGTCCCGTCTCGAGGTCTTGTATTTTCAAACTGGATGGTGACTGGGCAGTCCTTCAAATGGAAGACCTGTTCAAAATGGAGGACTGTCCATTGTTCCCTGTACAACTGGACACATGGCCACCAGATGTTCAATGTCTGTGCAGCACACATGGGTGGAATCCTTTGAGCTCCAGGCCCGTGCTACATGATACAAACAGGGCAGGAAGACAACCCATGTTTCGCCGCAGGCCAGAAGGCACTTGGGAAATCCCTCCGTGGGAAAGGCTGCATCCCTAGACCAAGGCCTAGCAGGAGCCTGCCGTGCCGGGCTCACCCTCCAGAAAACAAAATGAAATGAAAAATCAGCCATGACGTTTAAGGCAAAACAAGGGCTTCTTTGCGAGAGGGTTTGAGCCATGGCTCCACCGAGGCGTCTTCCATTTTCGCTGCAGGAGGCAAAGCGAGTCCTTCGCACATTTCCCCCCGCTGCGATTCTTGTGTCTGCTTTTCTGTATAGTGTATCGATCAGCCGCGAGGTGGAGCTGCAGCGTAGCAGATTTGCAACAATACACAAGACTTCTGTTCTCCCTTCTTTTTGGATTTTAAATTTAAATACCAGGCTTTCCTTGCTTGCAAAACAAAAGCTCCTCAAAAACGGCTGGAAAACACCGGAGAGGCTCTGGAGGAGGACAAAGTCGTAACGGCCACACAGGCTTGCAGGGCCGGGAGATCACGCGTGCACAGCAGGTGCCTCCCGCTGCCCGTCCCAAGAGTGGTTTGGCGCTTCAGACCTGAAGCGTGTCTCTGCAAAAAAAGCAAGCAAGCAAGCAAGCAAGCAAGGTACCAAATGTTTCGGCCAATGCATGGCTAGAAAGGATGCTTTAAACGTGCATATTAAAAGTGATGGCTCCCCTGACGCATGACGGGAGGGCAAGGCGAGGGGCTGCGCATTCCTTCCGCATGTCCTGCTCCTCTGAAGTTCTGCAGATGCTCCCCGTCCCACGGCAGGAGAATGTCCTCTGAGCTGCTCCCATGGGCCGCTTTCCCCCTGCTTCCGCCGGCATTGTTTCCTGACCTCCCCGGTCTTTGCCAGCCCCGCAGCCTTGCCGACGCTGAGCCACTGCAGCGGTTCCTTTGGACGGGCCGGCTCCCTGGGCGCCTCTTGCCCTTTGCGACTGCGGCGCACGAAGCAGCTGGGCCAAGGTCCCAGGGTGTACAGTCTGATCCACTCCTCGCCCCCTGTTCCTCCTCCGGCTCTCCCGGGACCCAGGCTCTGGGTCCACTGCCGTCGCCAGCCCTGCTGCAGCGGCGTGGGCCCATCTGTCTGTGCCACGCTGACCCCGGGGTGCCTGGCGGAGGGGCAGGCTGCAGGTGGCTCGCTGAATCTGTCGTTGCCGTGCAGAGCGGCCAAGGGGTGCGGCCAGGAGCCAAGAAGGGCCTTGCTCTCTTCTCGGCCATAAACTCATGGGGGGCATTTATCTCGCCACCTTACCTTCTCCATCTGCAAGGGGGATGCTATGCCCCCAGCTTAGCTTACAGGGGATATTCGAAGCGTTAGTGAAATAACGTGCACAAAGAGCCTTGAACTCTTGCAATTCGTATTTTAGTCATTACTTTTATTTTACTATCTATTCTGCTTATTTCCAATATTTCCACATCCAAGCAGGAGCACTGGAGGTCCAAGTAAATGGAAGAACAAAAACTGTGTATCTGTATCTCCATCCATCCATCCGTCCATCCATCTACATTTTAACTTACAGTTATTTTAGCACTGAGACCGTGGCTGGTCAGCAAGAAAAAACTTCCTGGAATAGGAGAGTCCTCCGTAGGCACCGGAAACAGCAACCTCCAGCGGCAGGGCATTCCACAGCCACGGAGCCACCACCGTAAAGGCTCTTCCTCGTGTGGACACTGACTGGGCCGTGGGTCCACATGGAACCGCCAGGGCAGTGCCCTCCAGTGCCCTCGCAGGCCAGGCAGGCCGCTTTGCGGGGCAGCTCTGGAGCCCTTGGCCGCCCCAGTGGCATGTCGGTGGCCGGGGCAGTTCCCACGGCAGAGGACGCGCCAGCTGAAAGGAGGCCGCTCCCAGCAGCGGCTGCGCCTCTGCGTCCGGCGCTCACTCTGTGCCCACAGCACCCCCACGGGCACGCTGCAGCAATCCAGTCGCCCTGAGGGGACCAGTGCCAAAGTCCCCGTGGCCAGTCCGCCCCTTTCCAGGAGGCGCCGTTGCTGGGAATCCAGCCGGAGACGGCAACAGGCGCGCCAAGCCTCCCCCGTCTCGTGGGACTCCAGCCACCGTGACGGATCCAGGAGCACCCCCAGACCGAGGACCCCTCGGTCACTGGGAGTGGAGCCCCATCCGGAGCAGGCGATCCGTGTGCCTCCCGGACTTGGGAACCGCTCGCTCGCCCGCCCGCCAGACTTGCGCCTTGCCGGGGCTCCACTCCCATTTGTCGGCGCTTGTGCAGCCCATTGCTGGACTGAGGTACTGGTCGTGGACTTGTGTGGCCATTCCCGGTTCCCTTGTCATCGGGAGCCGGAGCCGCATGTCGTCAGCATACTCCAGATCTCCCACGACCGGGTGCTAAACAGCATTTGGGGCCGGATGGGACCCCGTGCAGCCCCACAGCTCAGTCGTACTGGGTTCAAGGACCAATCACCCAATTTGCCTCCCTGGAACGAGCCCCACAGGCGAGGCTGGACCGCAGGAGTGGCGTGCCTCCAGCACCATGCCCACAGAATCGACCCCGGAGGCTGCCACCATCAGTTCTGCACCTCGCCACATCTTCTGACAAGCACTGTCACGACATGGTGTTTTTTGGCCTGCAGTGCCCACAACCGCTGCAGGCGTGCCTCTCTTTTTATTGCCCTGCAGCGGGTTAGCCGAAGGCCACGGGGCTCTGCAGTTCTTGCACTGTGCAGGATGCGGCAAAGGGCGGCCGCAGATCAGCTGCACGCAGGCTGCAAGAGCGGCGCAGCCAGGCGACAAGCACCGTGTGGATGGCCCCTAAGTCTTCTCCTTGGATATTTTGGGGCCCGGAAATTCCCTGCCCAAAGCCGGCATCCTGCGTGCCTCGGGTAGGATGCCGAGCCCCTCTGAGCCAGTAGAATGGGCTCGTCTTGCCCTCAGACAAGGGCTCAGCAGGCAGCCTGAGTCACCGTCTCTGAACAGCCAGGCAGTCGGGGACGGAGTGGGAGCGGAGGAGAGTCACCGGCTCGCAAGCCCCTGCTTGACCAGGCACACACTGCTGCCTCGCCGGAGAGCCGTGGGTGCTGCAAGACGTCTCCCCAGCATGCCTTTCAAGTGTGGAATAAAGCACCTGAGTCTCGCTTCCCTCCATTTCCCTCTGCCCCAGCCTCTGGGTGCCCCGTCCTGTCTGAAGGTGCCCTCGGGAATCCAGGAATAGCTACGAACGGAAATGCAGCACCCCTTGTGAAAGAACCGTGCAAGCCAGAGCCACTCCTCCCTCCAAATTCACCTTTTCCACAGAGACTTTTGCCCCCAGTTCTCCTGCCAGGAATAAGCGGTGCCCTGGGCAGAGAAGCTTCTCCACTGCTTATCAACTTGCACCTTTCCAGTTTAAAATGATGTGCCACACTTACCGTGTTTATTGTCGTAGCAACGCTTTTAGCGCATGGAAATCTTGCCTGAAAGGAAAGCCACGCACTGCTGAGTTTTATCTGGAGTGAGCGGCATCAGGAGAGAAATGGGGGAAGTCAACCCTGCAGCCACCTCTCCCAAAGTGGGGCCTGCAAACGTCTCCAACTCGAGCGCCGCCATTCCTGACCATCGGCCATGCCGGCTGGGGCGGGTGGGAGTCAAGCTGCCTCCAGAAGTTCATAGCTTGGCAACACATTGCCACAGCGACTTGTGTGTCTGTGTCGGTCACACCTGAGGAAGTGAAGGCCCTGCCCAAGCCCCCTGACAATTCTGCAAAGGTGCTTTCCACCTTGCGCCTTTTGAACAATGGCTTACAAACAGCAGGGGTTGCAACCGGGAAACTTGGTGGGCACAGTGTGTCCAGCAGACGGGTTTGGGGCAGGACATTCACACGGTCCTGCAAAGCCCTCCCTTTTCAAGTACAGAGAATGCAGAGGGACTTTCTTTGAGGCCAAGCGGTGGCCAGCCCTAAACGGCCCGTCCCCAGTTCTGTGATTCCATGACTGAGGCAGGGAGGAGAGGAGGAAGCGCACAAGCCCTGTCCTGTCTGCCCGGCACAACAGAATTCTAGCCACAGCAGAGGCTGAAATTGCCATGGGGGCTCACGGCACATGTGAGCCTGGCTCTTCCCAGCTTGGTGCCCAAGGTGAGGGCCTGGGTTGTCCCTCCCGAAGGATGGCCGCCCCTTGGTGCCTCCACCTCGTCCTCCTCCCTCCTCCTCCTCTTCCAACGTCCCAGCCAGCCCGAAGACATCGGATCACCGCTCGCCACCCCGTGCCTCCGCTGTGCTCCCCTTCCCTCCATCTATAGCCTTTAGACCCAGCTCTAAGCAGTGGGAGAAGGACAAGGCACACCTGGGCCATGCCACTATTGCTGCCAGCTGGGACCCCCGGTTGCTCGCCCCCCAGCATGCAGAAAACTGGTCCAGCCCCGGTGTCTTCTCTTGGACCTCTAGGATCCTGCTCGCAAGTGCGCAGGATGGTTGCGCATGGTAGGAAGGTCATTCGTCCCCATAACATCAGTCCCGCCTGCCCGCATTTTGTAGCGGTGAATTCCTAGCGCCTGTGGGCTGAGCCAGTGTGAGGTGCAATGCACTTTGGTAGTGTGGCCTTCGCACGTCTGATGGCTTTCTGGCCGTGCCACTGGGAGCAGCGTGTGGAACCAAGTGAGATGGAGACTGCGGCTTGGACGCTGTTCCTGGCCTGCCGCAAAGTAAGCGGCTGCTCCCGCCGCTTGGCGTTGCCGTGGCGAAGCCCCTGCTCCACGTTCCCCGGGCCTCCTCCGAGTCTCCTCCTGCTTCCCGGCTCCCAACAACGCGCTCTGCTCTTCCTCCGCAGTTGCAGCAGCTCAGCCGTCTCCTGCCCCTGATGAAGCCGGCCCGTCTGAAGCAGAGCTTGTGGCAGGAGCAAAGGCGCCGGGGGCAGCCTGAGGGAGACCAGCAGGAGGCGCCGTCGGAGCTTGACCAGGAGGTAGGAACGGCGGGGTGTGTTTGCAGACGTGCCCAGGGCTCCTCCGGGACGGCTGTCGGCTGTGACTGAGCCCTGCTCCAGTGCCTCTGCAGCAGAACTGTCGCAGAGGGTTCTGGAGAGCTGTTCCGGACCCCTGCTCTGATCCTGTGGGGTGCTGGGCCCTGCTACTCCATGTGGACGGAGGCAGGATCCCAGAACATTCCCAAAGCAGGGCAGAAGGAGAATATGGTCTGGTGGGCAAGCGGCCTTTCCAGGAGCCTCATCCGCCCTGGCCAACTTTTCCAATGACATGCCCCCAGCACAGCTCTGAGGAACCACCCAGGGATTCCAGGAAGGCTGCCTGAAAAGTCTTGCGCTGGAGGAAGCTTCCTCAGGACAGCCTCCCGCAACCTCGTGCCTCCCAGGCATGTCTGGACTGCAGCGCCCCACATTCCCAGGCAATGGCCCCTTGGGTGGGGATTCTGGGAGTTGTGGTCCAAGTGTCTCCGAGGGCCACCAGGTTGGGGAGGGCCACCCCAGGAGTAGGACAGCTTGGTGGCAGAGCCTGCCCTTTGCATTCGGTAGGCCCCCGTCGGAGTCCCTGCCACCTCCAGTTTCAAGGTGGCAGGAGAGAACTCTGGTCCCTCTGGAACACCGTGATTCACAGCTGGTGACCACGGGGCAGTACCGGTCTCGGCGGACCTCCAGGCTAATGTGCCATCAGAGCTTCCCATGTTCCTCACTGAGTTCCTTGGAAGTCCTTGGAAGAGCCATTTTCCGAACATTTTGCAATTTGGCAACATTCTTCTCGGACTACTTGATGTGGTGTGCCTGAGTGTGAGGAGAAGGGAGGTGAAATTACTTGATCATGATTAAAGCAAAGCAGGTTGCCAGATAATTCACTTCTTTCATCTACAGAAGTTCCGTACCTTATCCCTGTAAAATAATAGTGTTATACAAATAATGCAGGTATGATGAATTTTTAGCAACAACTGTTTTGAAAGCAAAAGGGGGAGCTGTAAGTAGCATTCAAAAGGTTTTCCCTGCCTTTCCCACCCGTTCTTGCTGTTTGTGGCTTTGGTGTCACTATTTTTTAGAAGCCGGGACATGATCCTGAAGGGATGCTAGCCAATCAGGGAACATGTCGATAGCGTCACATCATCAATCAAGCATTGCCCTCACTCTGAATAGGCTTTTTAGTGCCATGCACCCAATAAGAGTTGGGATCCAGTCAGATTTAACTTGGTTGCCGGGTCAGATGAAGCCAAATGGCTGTGCTTGCAGCTCTCGCTTGGTTGGGTGACGATTTAATTGCAGGTCAGCTCCCTGAAAATTTGCTGAAAGGAGTATGAGTGTATGTGCATACGTTTTGTGTACAGAGGGGTTTTTGTGGGTGGAGGGGGGCTTTGAGTGACGTCTGTGTCCCTTCCCATTGCAGCTTAATCCTGCAAACTGAAGTCTCCAACTGGTTTGCCCCCTTAGCCAGAGCCTCATCATTCCTGCAGGAAGCGTTTTGCGAGGTCTTCAGAGAAGGGCCAGGGCATGCTGAGGGGGTGGGGAGAATCCGTCTAGCTGTGAGAGGCTTGTTGTTCAGGGGTTTATTTTTACAAGACTACAAACGAAGCCTTTATTTCGCTCCTGCATCAGAAGTTCGGAGTGAGGTCCACGTGGCCTTGGAGCTGGGGGACTCTGGCAGGAGGCATCAAAGGACGAAAGGAGGGGATTTGCGGGAGTAGAAAAACATGTCTCTTCACTGCCAGCCGCTGGGGCTTGTTTGCAGAGGGAAGCGAGGAAAGAAGGCAGTGAAATGTATGGCTATGAATTGCAGGCTGAGGGCTGGAGGGGCGCCCAGCTAGTGCGAAAGCGGGGAGATGAGCCATGGGGGGGGGTCACGAGGGCAGCCAGCGCCTGCAGAGGAGGGCCGCCCTGCCCTGCCCTGCCCTGCCTCGCCGATCTGTCCGTGTTTCTGTGCTGCCACGCGCTAGGCACAAAACCTCCCATGCACAAAACTCTGCATGCAGGATGGAGTGTGGATCTGGACCTAATCCCATGCCGACTTGCACATTAAGCATTCACTCGGCACTCACGGCTGTGTTTGAGGAAGGAATGATTTATCCTCGTTTTCCCTTGCTTTCCTCTCCAGTTACCGCTCAGGCCAAGGGCCTAGTGTGGCCATTGCTTCATCTTCCTCCGCAGCCCCCCCAAAGTCGAGGGCAAAGGAAGCGAAAAGGGCACTCTGGAAAGGAATGTATGATCGGTCTGGCTTCATTAATTGATCTCTAGCGTAAAGCTATCTCATTAGCTCCTTCTACAGCTCCAGTCACTTCTGGACTGGAATAAGAATGACAGCATCCTCCATCAAAAGCGATCCCTTGCTCCCTGTCTTTCAAACTTTGCAGGCGCGTTCTGGAAATGCCGAGCGCTTCTTTCCACACTCCCCACGCCCACCCCGGCCCCCTGGAACCTCCTGCGGGCTGCTGCCCTCGTCCTTCTAAATGGTAGTATCCCTGCTTAATGGAGAGGCTTTGGGCTGTGCAAAGATCCCGGAGCACAGAGTGCGTCGTCTACAGGCAGGTCCTTTCCCCTTGTGTAAAATATTCCGTAACCACACAGTGAAATGTCAGCCGTTCCGTGGCCAAGAGTGCAACATCGACAGAGCCCTGGCAATGGGTTCTGATGGGTGGGAGACGGGTGGCCAATGCAATGAGGGGCCGAAGCCCCAGAACCTTTTGATTCACAGGCACAATTGCATCACCTGTCACTCACACACACATCCCGCAGTCTTCCCAGTCCCTTTCAGCTTAGCTGCAGCCCTCAAAGTAGCTGGAGAGGAAATGGATTTTCCCAGCAGCAATGTAGTGGCGTAAGCTATCATTTAATTTAATTTCGTACATTTCCATACTGCCCAATAGCCAAAGCTCTCTGGGCTGTTTCCCTCTAAAAGATACTAGAAGAAACATATTCATATAAACGTATGAACACGCAAGACATGCATATACCCAGAAACAAGAAAAAATCCAGAGCCTGGCTAAAAACCTGATCGTATGCTGCCCAGTAGCTGCGAGAAGAAGGTTTTAACCTGATGCTGAAAAGATGATAATGTTGGTGCCAGGTGGTCTTTGCGGTTGGGGGGTCCCCCCAAGAAGGCTGCCTCTCTTGCTGTTGACTTGGACGCTTCCCTCCTGCCCCCACTTCAGTGCAAAGTATTTTGGGGTGATGTGGGCACTGAAAACCCATCCATTCTACCAGGGTCCCTGCCTTTCTGGTGGAAATGCTAGAGCGGGTTTGCTGGTATAGTTCGGAGCAGCTGAATCTGCGGCCCCTCCTGGAAAGACTGGCGAAGGGGACCGTGGCGCATGAGCCCACAGACCCAGATGCAGCCAGTGCTGCACCACTGCTGTGGCCGTGAGACCCCAGCAAAGAACCGGCAAGCAGCCGCTTAATTCCCGCCGTTCCTGAAAGCACCACGTCTGTTAGGCCAGTGTGGAAGCACTAAGAGAGTCTGAATCCTCACTCAGTCATGGAGACCACTGGATGGCCCCGAGGAACTCCTGTCTCTTAGCCTAACCTACCTTGCAAGGTTGCTGTTCCTGGGCAGATAAAATCCCACACACTTTCCCGTTTCCTGCTGACACCTCCTGGTGTTCCCTTCATTTGTTCCATACGTCATGGGTAACCCCGTTCTCTTCCCTTCGCATATCTAGCAAAGGCAGATTCAAGTATGCAAAAGAGTGTAAAAGCAGAATGATGTGGCGTTTGAAAAATGGTGCATAATTTTGAGATCACTGAATCCGGATAGTTTAGCTAGAGATGTTACTTATCTGCATATGTGTGTGTTTGTGTGTTTATTAGCAGCCTTTAAGCCCTCTGCAAGGTGGCTTACATATAGCATGACCCATCGTATTGCACACCACACAAAGCACAAGGCATGGATATTGTGCAGTTCTGGCTAGGGCACGCTGATCTAGTCTCTCTGCCATCCACCCGAGCCAGTCTGAAACTTGGCCACGGATGCAAGGCTGGGGGCCGGGAACTGAGGTGCCGGTTGGGAAGGAAGAAGGTTCCCCAGGTTCAGGGATTGTTTTCCAGCTTTGGGAAGTTCATCACTTTATCCTGCCTCTGCTCTCCTGCTGGCGTATGTTGGGAGCCATCGGACCACTTGTCTCTGATTCTCAGACCCTGGAAAGATGCCACACACTGCGGGTCAAGCAGTGCAACATCCGTCGGTTCCCCCAAACAAATTAAGGGCACGCGTTTCTGGAGTGAGCTGTGCAGACGTGCTTCAGCTGAAGAAGTAGCTTGTAGAGAAGAACCCAAGAGTTTGTTGACTGGAGTAGGTTTGGGGTTTTTTCTAAATGGGTGCCCCTAGTTATTCTGTCTTAACCTTTCCAGTGTTCTGCTTCGCTTGGCTTGGCTTGTTTTGTTTCTCCCCCTCATGAGCAGAAGCAGTGGGAAAATATGGGAAAATCCAAGTGGAAGAGAGAGTGCATTCTCTAGAAGCCTTTTTGGACCTCTGTATCCATTTGCAAGAAAGATCAGAGATGGCCAACAGAATAGATATTTTAATTTCAGTGAGAACCAGATTACAAACATTTCGCTTCAGAACTGAGTTTCGGTGCTGGCATTTTACAAAGGGAAACGGCAAGCAATGAAAATGTTTCAAAACCAGCTGGGACTTGCCTCTCGAGATAAGACTGAATGCGCATGGGCAGGGCCTGCTGAAATCTCAGAAGCCAAAAGGATCTTGCGGAATAAGATTTCCATTGGTTAGAGGTAGAGCTCCAGCGCTTTGTAGTCCCTCCCCATGGACCAAGTGGAATAACTTAAGCCAAGGAAAAAAACTATGCAGCCTCTTACAAAATTAAGAATTCATTCCTCGCAGAGCAGGGATTCGGCTGCCGTGGAGCATTTATGCCTTCTGCTCGGGAGGCACGCAGAATTCTCTCCACCCATTAGCTTTGCCGGGTGAAGGCTAACTAGCACCCACAGCCTGTGCAGCCCCCTTCCTGCCCCTTCCTCTT